TAAGCACGGATGTGCCGCAGAGGTAATTCTGAGAACGTACAGGTGATGAACTGTGTGGCCAACGTGGTGAGCTGCAGAAATGCTTGATGGTTGGTGATGGCAGAATGGAAAGGGCAGGAATAGTGGCAAATTTGTCTTATTGAATTACTTTTTTAAATGTAAAGGCTAACACTGTAGCTTGTTGTGTGCATTATGGTCAAGCTTTCCAGACTGGGACAAAACCAAACGAGTATCTAAGTAAATAACTTGAATTTTTTCAACAACTTTGACTTCCATAAAAGGTGGTGAGAACTGTAGCTAAGCAGCTGTTCCAGCAGCTGAGCTACTGAAATTTCTACCAAGTAGACAGTTCTCTTACTTGAACTGCCTCTGTCAATAATCTCGATTTTGGTTTTGGACTTCTTTTGGGGAAGGAGGGGGCTGGGAGGTGGGGGGCCTGTTGCAGTCCTTTCTTTTTTGTTTTGATAATGTAAGAAAAGACTGGCTGTTAAAGAATGATCACTTTTTCACAAACCAAAATGCATACAGATTTGTGAAAATGGGTTCTGTGTGGTTTATCAGGTAAACAGATGGAATGCTTCCTGAGTTACTGGAGTAAAAATACAGTAGCCATACTTGGAATACACTTGTTTGTCTCGTGTGTGTGTGTATCCATCAATATATATGTGCGTATGCATGCATATATATTTTTTTTTTCTTCAGTTATTTCCCTGAAAGTCCTCTTTGCTCTTCAAGTGATTGTTTTAGGAAGACAAAGTGACAGAATTTCAGGTGGTGGCTCATGAGAGCATGTGGGTACCATACATGTGCCTGGGTCCTTTCGGTTACGAGAACATGGTTCATTCTTCTGCCAGGGGAAGGGCTGGCTGGCTGGCTCTAGGGCAGTCAGAGGAGCAAGTTTGGGTTGTGAACCTTTAAAATAATTTGGGAATAACATTTCCAGGAAGACTGTGTTAAAGGGTAGAGTTTTCTTCAGTTTTGTACCTACATTTTCCATTCTTTTTGGCTTAGTCAGTTTGGAAATGTTTGGCTCTCATTATAGAAGAGCTTGAAGTGAACTGATTTCACACTTACTTGCAGGTGCTTCAAATGGGATGGAAATACTATCTTATCAGGAAGTCAGTCTGGTGAATTACTGGTTTGGGACCTTCTTGGAGGAAAAGTTATGGAAAGAATCAAAGGACATACAGGTATGCCTGAACTGTTCCTTTTCTCAAATTGAGAATTGCAATTTTTCAGTTCTGGTACTACTGATGAGTTTGAGAGTCATCTGCTCAGTCAGTGGGCTGTTCCTGATGTTATTGTTACCTGGAACACCAGAACTAAAAGCAGGTCCACATGAGCCTCCTAGGAAATTTAATAGCAGTGAGGAATATTGCTGATGACAAGACTTGACAAAGGTAAATGCCTGGGGATAGACATGCTGTAGCCTTGTACTCTGGAGCTTGACCTGTCTGGGGATCATTCTGGAGCTAGGGGAGCCTTTCAGAAGTGGACTTCTAGGCATCTTGCTAGAAGATGTGAATACACTTTTTGTAGGAGAAGTCCAAATGGCAGAGTGAAAAATCCCCCTTTGTAGAGAAACCTCCTCCCATAAGCCTTTAGCCAGTGTGCCACCTGCATTGTAGAATCTCCTCCAGCTGCTAGTGTCCCTCTGGCACCCAAAGCCAACGGAGGCAACATGAGATCATTGCTGTGAGTAAGAACAGCCACCTAGCAACCTGCTACAATTCTTCCTGGTATATTTGGTGTCAATGTGAACCAAACTAACGATTGGATGATCCTGTACTCTCTTAAAGAGATCTGTTCCATCATCTGGATTGCCACTTGGATTTGCATTTAGATGTACTCGGTTTTTGTTTTCCCCCAGGTGCTGTAGTGTCCATGTGGATGAACGAACAGTGCAACAGTGCTATTACCGGAGGGGAAGACAAACAAATCATGTTCTGGAAACTGCAATACTAAGTGCCTTTCCCTCCAGACATTTGAATGAACTCTTATTTTAAACCAAACCTTTTAAATGAACTTACCTGTGTGCAATGATGGCTGCTGAAGTTCAACCAGATAGGAAGCTTTGTTCAATGACAACTTTCTACTTCATGTTGACTTCACTGGGAGCTCGTAACGCCCACTGTGTATGCATTTGTTTTTCATGGACTATCATACTGAAAATGCTTGTCTAAAATGATATCTGAGATGAAATTAAAGACCTATTTTTCTGTAATTAAAGGGCTCTTACCTTGCAGCACTGTTTGATTTACATAGAATACGTCATAGCATGCTGGTTGAACTGGCTTCAAAGCAGCATTTGCATTCTTGACTTAAGACTTTAAGGATGCTTGCAGCTTCGTGCCATGTCTCATGACATAATGTCTGTACCTCATGTGTAGTAAAACCTTCTTCCTAGGGAAGACGCATACACCGGTAAATCCTGCTTTCAACACTGCTAAGGCAGCTGTTGTTCTGAGCAGTGGTCAGTCTGTCACATCTCCAACCCTGGCTATTTACAGAGGCAGTAAGAACATACTCTATATTGCTTTTTCCTATTGAAAAACAGCACTGATGTCTTAGGGGATCAATTCTGTTTCGTTTCCTTTCGGGCTAACAGAAAACAGTTCTACACACATGTAAGGTGTTGATATAAAGTCTTCCCCTTAGTGCTGTGCCTGAAGTTAGTGTTATGCTGTGTTACTACTGCCTTTCATCACGTCTGTTCCTACCCTTCTCTTAATCTTCAGCATCTTCATGTTTTGAAATATTCTCAACCTCTTTCAACTCAAATCATCTTTGAGATGGAATTTAAATACAGAATTTAAACAGAGGTAGAGCTCCTGGATTTATCTGATCCCTTCATGTCTTAACCCTGTGAAAAAGCAGTGTTCCACTGTCTCTCTAGGACTTAGTGATAGGATCTGCTGCAAGATGCTGTTCTGAAGTTAAAGATTTGAAATAGTCTTTAAATGGTTTACTACAGTAACCAGTATCAGCAGTGGTGATGTTGCCTCCGTGTGCCCCAAGGTGAGTATTTATTTCTCTGATGGCATTAAGATACACTGTCACCGTGTCCAGGACAAACATTCTTCTAAATTATATTCAGTCAGTCCTTTGTCTGTAGACATCCTGCCTTGGTTTTGACACCTAACAAACACCGATTTCAGGGCACGGGTATTTTTTTTAGCACTATAAAACAATTGTTGTATGGTATGGGGCTGCCCTGTTCCTTCACCTTTCATTATATTTATTTCCCAAATGTATCTGTATCTATGCCAAGAGATAGAAAAATCATATTCTACACTTACCTGGAACTGTCTTGAATGATGTCTGGATTGTGTTAAAAGCTTTTTCTGTGTCAAGTGTGCCTAGGAGTGGTTGTTTACCTCCCCCGGATTGTATTTTGTCCCTGGATTTTAATTTTTTTTTTTTTAAGCAAACGTGTGCAAGGAATTACACATAGACCACTCTTTTCTTCCAGCTTAACTCCAAAGTTTGTGTTCATATGTTTAATCATAGCTTACTCCTCAATGCAGGCTAGCGTCTACCTGAAAACAGGGTTTTTGGTTAGTTCTTTCCCTGCTGCTTGCTACATGCTCTAGCTGAAAGAAAAACATTAAGTACTTGTAGGGAAGTACTCCCTGTGTATTACTTCCAAGGGTTCTCCCCTGTAGTTACAGCTATCTGATAACAAAAAAAGTTTATATTCTTCTTCTTTTTGAATGTATCCATTTTAGTCTCAGTTTACTTTTAAGTTTTAGCCAGACTTGTACTTCGTAGGGAATCACAAAGTTTAGGTGGGCAAAGCCCCTTGGTCAAGCTGTCATCTGGTACCAGGTTTGCCCAGAGGAGGAGTTTTGAAGCTGCAACAGGTATAGAAATGGCTCCCGCTGAATCATCTGCTCCTAAGGAGAAGGGGTTAGAGGCGGAGATCAGCATTTCAAGAATACATTGTGCTGGGCTCCAGGGATTTCAGGGAGCTCACAGCTGACTGCTCTATGCCAGCAGCTATGCCCAGCAGCTGAGCCCCCCCTGGGATTCTCACTCATCTGCCCCACACCAGGATAGGTCAGAGAATCAGAAGGCCAAAAGGCAGGAAAATTTATGGGCTGAGATAAGAGACAGTTTAAGGGGAGAGGGCAGGGGGGGAGTGATGCAAGGGCAACCAGCACCTCCCACCAGCAGCAGGCTGCTGCCCAGTCAGGCTCCTAGCAACAGCTACTTTGGAAGGCTTCCCCTCTCCCCCAGCTTAGGGCTGAGCATGATGTCAAACATTGGGGAATTGTTTTTTGGGCAGTCTGGGTCAGCAGTTCCAGCTGCTTTCCCTCTCAGCCTCCTGGCCACCCCCAGTCTACTCCCTGGGGGCAGGAGACAGACAGAAGCAGCAGAGGCCTTGATGCTGTGCAAGCACTGCTCAGCAATGGCAGAAACATGGGTGTTATCAACACTGCTTTAGTCACTGCTCCAAAGAAAGTAACTCCATCCCAGCCTGACCCAGTACACCCAGCAAACTGCACCCCATCTGAGCTGCTAACAGTTTGAAAATGAAACTGCAACTCTACAGTTAATGCATCCTGCAGAACAGCTGGGCTGCTATTCCAATGTAAGCTGACGGTAAGAAAAGAGTGAAGTGTATCTAGTTATAGTATCCCAGATCTAACCTTTTAAAACATTTCAACACTGGAGGCAGTGAGCTTCTTTAGAAAGCTACTTTAAACTGTATTTCCCAGCCTGTCTGTGTCGTTGGTTGAAACTGGCCTCAACTAAACAACTGCCTTCGCTTACCTTAAGCAGTATGCACCCATGCACACACACACGTCTAAAGTTTCAGTCATTTATTTGGTTATTTCTGAATCTTTAAGAACATGGTTAAGGCAGGAGATAAGCATCTTAGTTACAATTTGTATAACAAGTAATAAAAAGATTGATTAGCTGTACACTACTTTTATTGGATTGCTTACTTACTGAATGATGCCTTCAGCTCTATTC